GTGAGAAATGCTCCAAGGACATGGACACATGCAGCAAAGCCCAGCACCGTCTATGTACACATGCAGTATTATTACTGGTAGAGCATGCTGTCGCTGCAAATTGTTTACCCGCCTCCGCTTGGTTTGTATTCCTAAATATTTGTCTTTGTCTTTTTAGAGATTTCAACAAGTAACTACATACAGAACAAAATGAGTGAATCTACACTCTAAAATATGTTTATATACATCCGTATGCGGTAGTCCATTTGAAATCTTTAAAAAGACAAATATTTAAGAGGAGAGGGAGTAGTACTGTACTACAAAGCTGCAAATTCTTCACCAGGTTTTTGGCAAACGGCTGGGGGAAAGAAGGCAAGCTTTATTCTTCATCATGCCATCACATGGCTACATTGCCATGCTTACCCATGTCATTACCATGCATGCAGGGTTAGTTGCTAAACGAGCTTACTGCCTAGGTTGATGCACAACCCAGGCACTGGCAGAGCATCTGCCTGCGCAGTTTACACCGGCTTTTTATGCAAGTGGCAATTAACAAGTGTGCAAGCGGTGGCAAGAAGATGAAAGGAAGCAAGGAGCCATGCTAATGGCGGCCAGTACTGTAGTATTTTTTTTTAGGGCTAAGCGGATTTGGGTGTGCCCTGAATCCCCGATGCCCTGGAGCTCCCCAAAGGGGAAAGATGCCGCCAAATGGAGAGCCGCCACGTGCCGCCCATTACCCCCGCGTAAGAGCATTCTTATAATATAATCTCCACTTGATCACTCCCCATCCAGCTGCAGATCTGGTCTGCACGCCGGCGAGCCCTGCCACGTGGCCAGCTCCCAGCAATGTCCCACACACTTGCTGCAAGCGCAAGAGAGAGTAAAAAAAACACTACAGCCTTTGCAGGCGCAGCTTGCAGCAGCAGCCAATGCTTATGTGGATGCGTTGCCCGGTCAACAGGCCTTCTCACTGCCTCAGCCGTGTTTTACCGCACTGTAAATCTCGCGAGCGGTGAAATCAAGAGCCTGACCGGCCACTGCGAGTGCTGCATGGCGAGCATGCATGCACGCATGCACGGCCATGGTCAGGACGGCAGGTCAATAATATGGGTGCGCTCTGAGGAAGAAACAGGAGATCGTAGTACGTACCGCGCCAATTATCGGCGCGCGCAGCATTTGGCCGAATGGACCGGACGGGGAGAGAGGATTTTCACTTGCGCGCCTCGACCTCGGAGTAGTAGAAAGCAAAGCAAAGCAAAGCAACAGGAGTTCGCCAATTATTATTACCTTTCCATGCACGATTTGATCATGTGAGATCACCTGTTTTCTTTTTCTTAAATGGATTATTTGACCGTTGAACTTGCTTGCAATGCAAGATCATATTTTCCTTTTGCAGACGTGCGAGGAGAATGCTCGTCTGACCGGCTCTACATTCAAGGATGCACACACGCACGTTTTTGTTTGTGATTTGTCTTGCAAATTATGTTGCCAAATTATAGTGTATATTTGGTCATGGTCAAACTTCAGTAAACTTTGATCGAGTTTACAGGAAAAAAAACATATCATCATTTACAATATCAAATTAATTAATACCCAGAGATTCGTCAAAACAAATTATATAGTGTACATTGGGTGGATGTGATTTTGTCCGGACTCTCATGCACACAAACATTTTTCTCGCTAGACTCTCAAGGCCCCAAGTATTGTTTTTTCATCTGTCATATCGTTTCATCCTGCTAAACAGAATTCGCCGTACACCTCCGAGCAGGCACCAATTATCGGTTCAAGACTTTGCCGGATGGACCGAACAAGGAAATAGGGCCTCCCCCTCCCCTCGCTAAGTAGAATCCGTCGTACACCTCAAAGTAACCGAGGGTACAAATCAAGCAATAATAGTTCACCCATTATTATCTTTCCATGTATGATTTGATCTCGTGAAATCACTTTTTATGATTTGATCTTCTCACTATTGAACTTGCTTGCAGGACCCACTTTCCTTTTTCCGAACATGGTAGGACGATGCTCTCCAGGGCACCGCCTATGTATCGAAGGATACACGCATAATTGGTGAGCTTCATAGAGGACGTATCCAGTGCACCGGTGTAATTCATGCACCCAATGCACCGATGTTGGATGATCCATTGGATAAAAAAAAGAGGGAAATGAGTTGGCCTGAGAGATGAATAGTCGGTACATTTATCAAATAGTCCTTCTATTGTTTAGAAATAAACCCGCACTACATATCTCACATTCTCAGTCTTCCATCAATAAAGTTGTTTGTTTATTTATGTTTTGTCCAAATAAGACATGGTAATATGTTATGAATTGGATGTCCGATTTTGGAACTGCTTTAGTGAGATCTTTGACCATGCACCAAGTTTTGAGTAGAGTTTAAAGGACAAAAATTATAGAGAATATATTCAACATTGATCTTGTATCAAAGGTCTTGTCAAGAAAAGTATGGCAATCAAAACCAAGCCAAAGTAGGACATTCGATTTGAAATATATATCATGTTTTCTGCTTGAGACCAAAAAAGCTGGACGTACATGTTTACTATTAGGAATGACATGTGTAGCGCGGCTTAATTTATATAAAGTGAAGGGTTGTCTCAGTAAAAGTAGTATAGTTTGCTTGTGACCAAATCTGGGCCATTCTTTTTTCATCTATTGGCCCAAAAGCTACTGGTGTATTGGTTGCACAGATTAGCTCGGTGGATAGGATACGTTCTTGAACTTCATAAGAGGAGGACCCTTTTCATGTTACTAATCAACATTTTTTGTGGTCATTGCCTTAGAATTTAGTGACGCTTGAATGTTTTTCTTGGCCTGATTGGTTTCTACTGAAATTCCTGAGCATCAGGAAGATCCGCCCATGACAAGACGCCATGGACTAGCATATGGTAGGATGGTTTACTTTCTAAACCAAGGAAGTCTCACTAATGTTGCTTCGATCGACTTGGATGTTCTTATGTCTTTGTTGCGGAATTTCCCCCGAGACTCCAACGACAAACGCTTCCTCACTCATGGGCTCTCCTTCACCTCTAGGAACGCCTACAAACACCATCTCTGTAGAGCATGATGAAGACTAAAATGCAAACACCACACGACCATCCAAGGTTTCCATTGATGTCAATTTTTTGTTGGTTGCTCTCAAAGTCCGATCTCCATCACAACCGCCATTGTTTCCTCACCGGCTTGCCCTAGGTTTTCCTCCTATTATGAACAAGTCGAACACATTGCTTTACTTCGCCTCCTCGGTGGCCCAGGTGTGGTCAGTCCTAGGGTTCGAAGTCTGGTTTTCCAACCCACAGATTTGGAACATGATCACACCAGTTGGCGTCGACCCCCAACATTTGTCCATCGCTAGCACTCACCATTCTATGGCAGATATATGACTCAAGAATGCAGTTACCATTAGGAACATTGTTTCAGAATTCTCTCTTTGGATTTATAGGCTTAAGGAACCTTTAAGAGTGTCGCTATGTCTTGGTGACATTACCTATCTCCTTGTGTTATAGCACGCCCTTGACAACCTTTTGAGTAATATATTCAAGCGCGGACGCTCTCCGTCGGTGACTGTTAAAAAACCCTTGTTTGCAAGATCAATTTTTTCATTCATTTAGACATGGGAGGAGGACACCCTTCATGACGCCTCTGAGTAGAAGGATGCACCCATCTAGCTACATAGCAATCGTTATTTCTTTTTCTTTTTTGGCCCTTATCTTAGAATTTAGTGTCCCGTCATGAGTGCCATTTTTCAATTTCTGCCTTTTCCCAAGGAATAAGGAAGATCCACATGCCACTAATGCTAAATACCCAACTGGCATCATCAAAGCCTGCTTTGGTGGAGCAAGGCGTGATAATTAGCATCATTAGAGGATAAAACTTTGCTACGGATTTTGCTTACAAGAGAGGCTTTATCCGGCCATGCCATTGGACGACGAAAGTTGTGTGTGTGCGTGGTTGATCCTTCAAGGCAAAGGCGTGGGAGGGAGGAGACGTTGTTTCATGCAACGGGAACCGATGAATAAACAAGCTGAGTTTGTAGCGTGCTCAGCCATCATCACACCCCGCAAATGCTCCATTAACTAGGCTTAATCACGGGCTGCCAGGGCTAATGGTGGCACAAGGAATTTCCTCCGTGTGGTGTTGTGTGTGGCCTGAAATTGCCATTTCCACTTCGAGCGGTGGCTTTTCTGCCTTTTGTAGGAGCGGATTCCCCTTCCTCGGCCAGGCTTAATTTGAGCGCACGAATATGAATATATATGATGGTGTTTGGTTGGCTCCTAGGACAAAAATATATGCCTCATCTGCCCACCTGCATGCATGAAGAAAATAAATAATGGAGGCCAGGCATTTTTTGTTTCTCTCTTTTGAATGCTGGTGATAAAACAAGGACATGAGCCCAAGCTGAAAGCCCCAAAAAACTCCTTTTGTTATTCAATGAGCTTCAGCTTCGTGCCTCTTGTGTGGTGTCGCCCAGCCGGCACTCTTATTATTGTTACCCTACTCATCATCAGTGTCACTCTCTCTCTCACTCACTGCTCCACTCCTACTGTTCACCTCGGCCAAAAATAAAACGCAGCTGCCCGAGCTGTAGCACTGTAAAGGCATCGTCGTCTCCTCTTTCACCACCAGCTCCCCCCTCTCCATCTTCCCTTTTAGCACCCCTCTTCTCCCCCACACGGCCGGCCGGAGCCCCTCTTGCGGCAATCCTAAATTAATACTCTCCTCTGCCTCACCGGATTCTGATCTGGTCCCGGCCGTGGTGAAACAGGCAAGAACTGCACCCTGGCTGCCCATTTTTTCTTTCTTTCCTGTTGCTTCCTTGCTTGTGAGATTTTCTCTCTCCCCCTTCTTGGCATGCTTAGGATTTGTTTCCATTGACCGGCCGGCCTCGGTGGTTGCTGTTATTTCCGTTTGTAATGGCGTGTGGTTTCCCTGTTTGACCTGTGGTTGGTTGGTTGCAGCTGATCGCGACACGTGAGGCGAGGGGGTGGCTGTCGGAGGCTGGTGCGTGGATGGGAGTTCAGACAATGTCGTCCCTCGGCGGAGCCGGCGGCGGGGGCGGCGGGGGAGGGCCCCTGTCGAGGCAGGGGTCCGTGTACGGGCTCACGCTCAACGAGGTGGAGAGCCACCTGGGCGAGCCGCTCCGGAGCATGAACCTGGAGGACCTCCTGCGCACGGTGCTCCCCGCCGCCGACGCGGAGCCGCGCGGCGCCGGGACGGGCAAGAAGACGGTGGACGAGGTGTGGCGCGACATCGAGAGCGCCGGCCGCGGCCGCCAGCCGACGGTGGGCGAGATGACGCTGGAGGACTTCCTCTCGCGCGCCGGCGTGCCTGTCGCCGGCGGCGGGGGCTGCGCCGGCGCGCATTGGCTGCACCAGTACCACCCGCCGCAGCAGTACGTGACCCGCCCCCTGCCGCGGCCCCTCGGCGTTGGCGCCGGCCCCGTGCTGGACGCCGTGTACCACGGCGGCGGCGGCGGCGGGTTCCTCTCGCAGGCCGGCGGGCGGAAGCGCGGCGCCGCGGTCGTGGGCGGGGACGGCGTCGTGGAGAAGACGGTGGAGCGGCGGCAGAAGCGGATGATCAAGAACCGCGAGTCGGCGGCGAGGTCCCGGGCCAGGAAGCAGGTGCGGTCTCTCTCTCTCGGTCACCTTCTCCGGTAAATAATTTCGCACCCCAAAAAATCGCCTCTTTTTGACGGATTCGCCATGCCTACGGTGCCGTAGGCCTACACGAACGAGCTGGAGAACAAGATCTCGCGGCTGGAGGAGGAGATCGAGCATCTGAAGGAGCTCAAGGTAAAAAAAGAATTACTCAAGTTAATTCACTTGTGCCTTGGCCTCGGTAAGCAGTACGCAAGTCCTGTGCCACTAGTCAAAGGCCAATCAGGACGAGAATGTACTGTACTGGCCATAATAGATGCCGACCACTTCCAAACTTCCTGCTCCGGCTGCTCCAAACAGTGGTGTGATCTTTCCATGTTCTTGTATAATTGCTTCTTCTCTGAATGTCATAATTTTTCATCCATGAACCTCTTATTAGTGCAAACTTTTTTCATTAGTGTAAACTCGGAGATTAAACCTCTTAATCTAAGCCTCTTATCTCAATTCCTAGACTGAACCGCTGCTGGCATTTGTTGGCTTACTGCATCACAACAGACTCTCAAGACTGATGATGAAATCACTTCATCGGAGCAAAGTTTCTTTTCTCGTCTCATGGTTGTGTTTGGTGTTGCAGAAGCTGGAGCCGGTGATGCAGTTCCTGCCGCAGCAGGAGGCGGGGGAGAGGCAGCAGCAGCTCCGGCGACACGCGGTGCTCTACATGCCCCAGCCGGAGGCGGAGCCGAAGCAGCACCAGCACCAGCTCCGGCGGATCAACTCGGCCTCCTTCTGATCGACGCCGAGAGACACACCCGCCACCGCCACCGCCGCCGCCTTGTTCATAGTACGCGCGTAGTAGCCCAGACTCTCTAGTAGAGTAGTAGGGCGTTAGGACTCTGTACTACCTGGGATGAAACGCTGAGTGAGAAGAAGAGCATCAGCTAATCTAAACCGACTCTTTTATATATATGTGCAGTGCAGTCTGTCTCTTTGGGTTGCAAGTTCGTTTCTGGTTGGGTGTTGTTGCAGCACCAATCAGTGCATCTTTCTTGGATAAGGAATTCCTCATCAGGGAAATTCTGTCACTGCCGGTTACTGAACATTGCACGCTGAAAATGTCCACACATTCAAGCGATTGTAGACTGTACTCCCTCCATCCCACAATGTAAGACGTTTTTTTATACTACATTAGTGTTAAAAAATGTCTTACATTATGAGACGGAGTGAGTAATTTATAATCTGCAACGCTCGTGAAGTAACAATGGGAGGGGGATGTTAATATATCGACACTTGATACTCTTTCTTGATTTATACCTCTACGGTCTTAAGCATTGCGAAGAGCTCATAGATTGTTTTCTTCATCCATTGCATATTATAGTTCTCTGGTAGCTTGGTGGCAATGACTGAAGAACTCTATCAATCGCTACTTCATCCGGAAGATTAACTGCACCCCCCTAGTCCCGGTTGTGTTACGAACCAGGACTAAAGGCCCTCCACATGGCCGCTCTATGGAGCTCCACCTTTAGTCCCGGTTGCCGGGACTAAAGGAATTTTTTTTGAAATTTTGTTTTTCTGATTTTTTTTGATTTTTTTTGACTTTTTTTATTTTTTCTTATTTTCAAATTTATGAATTATTTGACAATTCAATCTCTCATCACCCACTCTAATCATCCTTCATCACTGCTCAATTATGAACCACTTATTCCAAATCGTGTAACTTCGCAGCCGGTCACCCATCCTCTCACTACTCCAGTCTGAGCATGCCTAACTTTTGAGTTCTATTCCCCCTAGTTTCCAAGTCTGCAATTGTTGTTTTCTTAACAATACTAAGCTGTCAATTCTATTAACCCTTAGGAGTTGAACTTGAGCATTAAGCGCCGTTTGAGTTTGAAACTATTGTTCTAAAAATTAACAATTATTTATTAACACAAATATTTTTTGAATAAGTAGTTTGACCAGTTTTGACCATAGTTTGACCATAGTTCGACCAAAAGTCAAAAAATAAAAAATAATTATTTATTAACACTAATATTTCTTGAATAAGTAGTTTGACCATAGTTTGACCACAAATTTGACCAGATTTAACAAAAATTCAAAAAAACTGAAATTTGAGCATATCATTTTTTCCTTTTAGAATTTGAGGATTCTAAAAATTTGCAAACAGGCCTAAGTCCATCAAAATCGGATGCGGATTTTTGTGCTGATTCTTTTGATATATTATGCATTCTTTTTCGACATCGTATGCAAAAGATATGACCGTTTTACTTTTTCATAAAACTTTTTTGCAAAACATGTTCAAATTTAAGTTTTTTTATTTTCCTAACCAATAGATGTAGTAACATAACTATATCTCAAAGGATTTTAATTTTTTAAGTTTTTATCGTTTTCTTTTGCATTTTACAAAACTGAAAAGGCGATCCACA